ATGGGGAATGTGAAGGAGGAGAGACCCTTGATGTAAATGTGCCCCGCGGTATGCGGACCCGTGCTTTGGGGTGCTGTGCGCTATGCGTGCCTGCTCCAGGTTCATCTCTTGGGTTGAGCAAGGGAAGAATCAGCACCAGGACCCAATCTCCAGGGGCCACCGAGAGTTGCTGGAGCCCAGCACCATTTCTGCAGAGGCAACGTCTCTCCCTGTTGCCCCCCGATTCCTTGCAGCTTTAGCCTGGCTTCCCAGCACCCATAGCTCTGCACCCTCAGAGCTGCTGTGCTTACCTGGGCTCCCTTCCCATCTCCTACAAGTGTGGTCCAGAGCATGAAGATGGGTTTGCACAGCTCGCTGAGTGTCCCTTCAGGAGTTTCAGCTTGGGACTAACTAGATGCATGACCCTAGAGAGCCCTTGCCACGGTTCCTCGGTGACTCCTGCAACGGTGGCGGACAGCATCGTGGAAGCAATAAACATCGTCGCCTCCAGCTCTCAATCTGGAGGATGCTTGTGCAGGATGGTTTAGACAGGAACAATCCTGCCTTGGGCAGAGGGATGGACTAAATCACCTCCTGAGGTCCCTTCCAGACCTCCTTTCCTACGGGTCTGCAAATACAGCTATGTCTAGGACCACCAGACCCCTCTGCTCTGATTGAGAACAGCACGTCCGAGTCGCAGGAAATCTTTCCAGTGGACTTTACTGAGGTGTGGATAGGGTCTCAGCAGTGATTCCCCCACCTGGAGCCCTAATCCCTTGGGTTATCTCGAGTCACGGCTGTGGAACCGATTGTGATCGCCACCAGCCCGCAGGCGTACAGCTCCGAAACGGCAGGCAGCAGGTGAAGTCTTAGGAAGAAGATCCTATTTTCATGCAAATGTCCTTGGTAAGTGAGAATAAGGAGAGAGAGACAAAACACCCTGTACAGGAGACACAAGCTGAATTGTTTCTAAATTGAGTGCTTTGGTGTATTCCATTAGGCCTCAGATAAGACATTTATTGCAAGCCAATGAACTAAAGTGAATCACTATTGATACTAACACCCTGTCATACTAAATCCAGCCTGGTAGTTGTACACGGGCGAGGTATTTTCCTGACTTCTGACTGAGTGGTTTCTAGTAAAGAGAAAGGGGTGGGGTGGGGGAGACATTTGCTGTCTGCAGTATCTCACTTCGCACACATCTGACACACCTCTCACACACACTCGGTCTGAAGAGGTAGGTTGCTCCCCACAAAAGTGCATGGGTGCCACCTTGCTCTGCCTTCTGCCAGACTTCAGACTAACTTGGCTAACTGCCTCTGTCTCTTCGCCCTTTATCAGATAGGTCAGTAATTAATGACCCCCACTATTAAGAGAAGCACTGTTCCCATGCTCTGGTACACCTCCAGGGAAGGGTTGCTGGGAAGGCCGGTGGATTCCCTTCCGAGAAGGACAGAGATGAGATGATATCGCATCAGTTGTCCCTCGAGACGATGTTAAGCTTTCGCTGAAGAATCCATGTACGGTGTTCACCCTAGAAGCGTCTGTACATGGGATGAAATCCTGGCCCCGGTGAAGTCGGTGATCCCATCCACATCAGTAGCATCCGACGTTCACCCTTAGGTTGCAAACTCTTTGCAGCGTGGGTGTCAGCTAGTACGGGATCCTGAGCTCAAGGCTCCTCCTGGGCTGGATCTGCAGGGCCAGCGGCTGCTGCGGTGGGTCCAGGGACAAGCGGTGGCAACAAATGCTGACAACCGTAACACCGTTTTTTGTCGTGCATTTCAGTGTGTATGTGTGTGCAAACGTGTACATGTTTGCCTATGCGTGTATTTGTCTTGTGCGTGCATGTGTGTGTATCTGCATATTGGCTTTGTGTGTGCGTGGCGGTATGATATATAAAATAAATAAGGATGTGCATGGCTGTATGATAAATAAAATAAATAAGGATGTGCATGGCGGTATGATATATCAAATAAATAAGGACGTGTTTTTAAAAGATCTAAATGAACACAGATTTGGAAACATTCGGTACAGCATATGGTAATGCTCTTTCCACTTATAACAATGGGGGAGGTGGGGGAAATAAGCAAACTGCATATCAGAGAATACATTTCTCTTCAGCCTAAAACGTTTCCCCGTCACTTGATATAATCAGGCTGAGTCAGATGCCCAGGCTTTCAATTCTGAAATGAGAGGGGTCAGCCTCCTGGGTCTTGTTTTTAGATTTCAAATGATCAGGCTTCAGGAGGAGGAGAAATCCTGTTCTGTGATTGTTGTAAATTATATAGCGTGTGCATCCTGACACACCAGCGGAGCCCGTGTCCTCTGGAAACAGCAGGGAGCGGGGAGGTGACGACCTGCTCCGGCCACGATCCAGACCCCGGCGAGCGTGCACCTAGCGTGAGGTGTAGCTTGTGTCAGGCGTTCGCCAAGGCTCGGCCTCCCCCTGCGTGCTCTGCGATGTATCTCCTGCTCGCCCATCGGCGGCGGGGGCTAGCGTGCAAGGCGAGGCACCGGCGGGCTGTGATGCACCGAGCGCGCCGCGCCGTTCAGGTCTGTAGCTCGCTGCCCCCAGCGACGAGCAGCACATTAGCAGCATGACACACATTATGAGAGTGGCAGAGCCGTGGTCAGTGCCTAACGGGGACAGATTGCAGCCTGCGGCGTGGCTGTGGGCCGCAGCACCGAACATACGGAGATCGTTTAGAGAATTTATACAGCGCCTGTCGTCGGAGGAATTAAATTCCAGGGGAAGAAAAAAATAGGGTAACGCTCACAACAGCTTTCCCCATTACGAATTACAATGACCTGCCTTTGCTCACCGAGCGGCTGGAGGTGTCGAGGGCTGGCGGGACGAGGAGAGAGCTGCTAGCTCCGGGCAGGATTCTGGTTTGCTTTGGCTCTTTTTTTCCCTCTTCCACGGCTCTGTTTCCTTCTTCCCTCCAGGAACGGCGCGGTTCCCTCCCGAAGCGCTGAGGTTACCCAGGGGGCTGGGCATATTCCCAATCCCAGTACCAGCTTGGTAACTCTGCCCGGACCCTGCTCAGGGGCTGCTGGCCTTGCAGCCACACAGGCAGGGACGCACTTCTTGCAGCAAAGGCGGCATTGGAGCAGTGCGGGCTGCCAAAGCAGGGGGACTGGGCTCTTCGGCCAGAATAATAAGCACAGCCGCACATATCCCTTTGCATGTCCTTGGGCTCAGGATCCCAAGTCTCCTCTATTTTTTTATGTTTTCCCCTGCCTGCTTTGCAATCGTGGGCTGGACCAGAACGATGCATGCCTTTTTCCTTGTGTGTTTTGAAGCCGTTTAAAGGAAACCATTGCTGCGAATCATTGCAACTTGTTCACTGCATTTCCCTTTTTAAGCGACCAAGAGATCGCTGCATCCCTTATTTTGCCAGCTTAAATCTTCAGTGAAACAAACACCCTCCTGCGAAGCCGGAGCAAATTGGAGACGGGTAAATAGTACCAGAAATCGTACCGGAGAGCGAACGCAGCCAGGGTTTGCTTTTGGGCAAATTGCTTTGGAATCGGCTCGGACTAGCCTTTCGTCCGAGTTGTGCTTGAGGGACAGGCTTTTTCATTTGTAGCTGATTATGGGCTAATAGGATTTCAAAGATTTCTGGGTGGGAATACTTCACATCTCGTTTCATTTGATTTTTTTTCTGATGTTTCACTTATCACGCTGATACCTACCCTCGGAATAAATCTTACTGCCCTCCTTTTTCGCTGCCTGACCTGGATCTCCCCCGTCCCCCCGCGCTTTGGGCCCGTGCCGCTGTTCACTTGGCCTTTCTAGAGTCACGTGGGACTTCTGGAAAGACCTGAGCATTGCGTGCATGTTAAGGGTGGCTCGTTGAAAGAAAGAAATAACATTTTGTCCCTCCCTCACTGACTCATGCTTGTCCTGTTATTGTCTTTTCATGATGGAAATAAAAGACTGCCTATACACGTGCTCATTCCTGTTTTAATAAGAACGCGTCGGGGCAGACTTGATTAATCAGTGGCCATTACCAGCCTTGATTAATCGAGCCTGCTCTGCGTTCTAATTAAAGCGCTTTAATGTCACCTCTATTAAGCCTCCATGCGTTTTAAAACGGCTGCGGGGGTGCTTTAGCTGAACCTTGTCGAATGAGGTTTAGCAAAAAGAGTCCTACGGCCCTTTTTAAATGTGTGGGGGCTTCACTGATGTGACGATGAGGTGTTTTAATTAGAGCGGCTCTCCGGGAACTGCTCTAATGAAAATGCCCCCCGAGCACGTGTATAGGCAGGCAAAGATTTGAAGGGAACCCATGGGAGTGACCAGCATGGCCAAAGGTTGGCCAGTTTGTATCGCTGGCCTGTGCAGTCTAGTGAAGGTAGTAGCCGGCGTTATTTGGCTTTAGCAGCTCACGTGGTGGGAACACGCAGTTCGCTGGTCGATGTGGATCGGGCAGGAGGATGAATGCACCAGTGTTCGGAGCGGCTAAAGGCTCAGAAATAATGTTCGGCTGTGACTTTTCCAAGCTGACATCTCGATGTTAGGATTATAAATGAAACCATTGTTCTGACAAAGGCCAAGACTAATAGAAAGCCTTTATGAGTGGCCCAGTGGCTAATTCTGCTTGTCTAACCCCTTTGCATGGACACAGTGTCAGAAACCATGCTCACAGAGGTTGCTTTGTGCGAGCTTTGGCCCCGACGAGTGATTACGAGGGGGCGCAAAGATACCGCAGCGACAAGCGCTCTTTGACTAAAATTTGTAAAGTCATTTTCCCCCCACCCCCCGAGGCCTGGGAAGGGAGTGAGCTGATTTTTAATCTGCGGCGTGCACGAGTGAAATTTGCTTTGTGTGCTGCCACCCTTGTTATTCAGCTGTTCTCTCCTCCCAGGGAGGTAAAGCTTTGCTTAGAAGAAATTGTTTCTTCTGAGGTTCAGTGCAGTTGACAGCTGTCATATTAGAAGAACTACACTTGAATACATGTTTTTTGAGCCGGCCGGTCTTAAAAAGCTCTAATCTTTTCTCTTTCCACATGCAGGGAATGTCTGGGAGCCAGAGACCCGTACTGCGGCTGGGATAACAAACAGAAACGCTGCACGACCATCGAGGACAGCTCCAACATGAGCCTGTGGACTCAGAATATCACCGAGTGCCCAGTGAGTGGAGTTGAAAGGCTACAAAAATATATGAATGTACTCAGCGTGTGCAACAGAGGGAGAGAAATAGGTTATCCAGACAATAGTCAACCCGGTATCGAATACCTACATTTTGATGCTTTATGGGCCTTGCACGTCCCCCAAAAGTTGGAGCTGCCTTAGGGTGGCTTGAATTCAGGGGCTGCCCGCCAGGCTATTCTAGCCAACCCTTAAGAAAAGTTAGAAAATTAATATTTATCTGCCCCGGCTGCCTGCCGTGCGGCCCTCAATGCCTTGCCGAAACTCAGAAAGCGGCTCTCCGCCCGAAATAATTGCCCGGCCCTGCAGAGTCTAATTTATAATCTTTTTTCTACAGCTCCCTAGCAATGAGAAGAGCGGAGGGTATACAGCTCTTTGGCCCCAGCTAATCTCGAGGACCTGTGGTTTGGGGGCTGGGAGACCACGGCTAGCATAGGGCTGTTTCGGCAACTCTGCTGGCCAGAGGAGCTCCTCCGCAGGGGGTGTCCCACGGGAGAAGCGAAGAAGAGCGTGAAGGAGAAAAAGAGGGGGTAGAGGGGGACGGTGTGGGGAGGTGGGGGTATAAATCGAGCGAGAGGGTCACGGGGTACGTGTTAAAGGAGAGGAGGAGAGGGCTGGGGGAGAGGTTGCTAGCGCGTGTGCATGCAGGTGGGGGGCAGAGGGAGAATGAAGCCATCAGCTTTTGCTCATCTGAGCGTGGCTCAAGCCTGGTTTACAGCACTCGAAAGGGAACGCCGCTTTGGTTTTGCCACGAAGTGCTTCTCAAACCGACTGCGGGGAGTTGGGTCGGGTCGGCACAGCAGTTCACTCCCCCGTGCGCCCCGCTTTTTTTCCCCCCCACCCCGATGCCTGTATCCTGTTCACGGCCACAGTCTTCGAGGATACACGGCGGAGGCTAATTCCTGTTGCTTGAACCATACCTGGGAAGGAGAGCAGCTCGTACTAAATTGCAGTGGGGAGGGGAGGGGGGTCCTGCGGAAGATTTCTCATTAAGTTCCATCGTTATTATCTAATGCCAATTAGCATGCTAATGCCACCGACTACAGTACACAGAGCGAGGGCTGCACGGGTTATATCGGCAGTATGCTGTTTATGTCCAGAGGTGCGGGGATGTTTATTCCCCTTATCTCTTTCC